GATGTCAACAAAAATCCATGTCTTTAAGCACTTTGATGTAAGAAATTATTATTATTTTTTTTATTTTTTTTTAAATTGTTGTAGTTGTATACACAGCCATTGTTCAAATGTCCCATTCTTGGATTTTCAAACCATTTGCTTCAGTGTCATGGTATGGGATGAACTCACTTTAATGAATATGGAAGAAGGTAAGGGGGGGGGGGGAGGAGGAGGGTAATGTAATTGTGTCAGGGTGCTCCAGTGCACTACTACTTTGTAATTTTTAGTATGTAGTCAAGATTGAAGTTCATCAGTTACAGAATCTACCGTTGTAAAATGTCAATGTTTTTCTTTCAACTTTTGATGGTTAAAAAAAAAATTATTTTCTTCTTAAGCTTATTTGATACATTTGTATAAAATGTCAATTTCTTTCATTTTAAAAACAAGGATATTCCAAGCTATAAAATATTTGTTTGAAAAATCATAACTTCCAAATGCTTATTCTCTTATTCTAACAGATTAAAAAATCATTTTTCCCCTTAAGTGATGTTTCTCACTTGCAACCAGTAACTTCACTGACGACAAGGATGGCAGTTGTCCATTTATTTGAGTCCCCACTGACCCTTTTCTAACAACTGTTGACTTTCCCTGTCTTGTTAGCTTTTCTTGTGACCTTGAGGTCATCTTGCTCACATTCCTATGCCTATGCTGAATCAATTTGGCCTAATTAGTTTACATTCCAGTGTTTTTGTGGAACAGGTTTTTAAAAAAAAAAAAATTTTAAAGATCATTTGTGTGACATTAAATCACTGAAAAATGGTCAACAAACATTTGCAGTTTGGGGAGAGTTAGTTGAAAACTTTTCTAAACTATTTATGTGTCAAATCTTTTCTTTAAAAAAATTATCTCCCTGAAATCAGGGATGGTGTGAAATGATGATTTTAATTCAAAATCTGTTGTTTATGAAATAACAGGTACAAGCCCCTTCATGTCAAACTTAGATACAAGCCCCTTCATGTCAAACTTAGATACAAGCCCCTTCATGTCAAACTTAGATACCAGCCCCTTCATGTCAAACTTAAATACAAGCCCCTTCATGTCACACTTAAATACAAGCCCCTTCATGTCAAACTTAAATACAAGCCCCTTCATGTCAAACTTAAATACAAGCCCCTTCATGTCACACTTAAATACAAGCCCCTTCATGTCAAACTTAAATACAAGCCCCTTCATGTCACACTTAAATACAAGCCCCTTCATGTCAAACTTAAATACAAGCCCCTTCATGTCAAACTTAAATACAAGCCCCTTCATGTCAAACTTAAATACAAGCCCCTTCATGTCAAACTTAAATACAAGCCCCTTCATGTCACACTTGCCTAAAATTTGTGTCACGCTTTTAAAATCTTGACTCATTCATTGTCATATTAAAAAAAGAAAGAACATCTTTGTCTAAGAGGCAAAACCATTTTTTTCTCTAAGAAGCCTGGTCTTTTCCTGTTTCCAACTCATATCATTTTATATCTAGAGTCCATCATTTAGTGTTACTCAAGTTTTTAATGGCTTTTTAAAAAAAAAAATGTTATTACTCTTCCTGAAAACACATTGTTCCTTTTCCTTCAGTCAGGAAATTTTTTTGTTTTTTTAATGAATGAAAAGTTTATGGTGATGCTAAATGTCAATCTGGGAAAGATGTCTGTCAACATTTAGATATTTTAATCACAACTGTTACTTTAAGTGTTATAAATGCACCAAAGAATTCACGTTTCAAAATTCAAAGTGATTTTTCAAATAATTCAGTATCTCTAACAAACTTAAAATTGACTTGCATATTTTTGTATTTCAAATGCTGCCATTGTTTGATTCCCTGGCCTTGTAATCTATACACACAGAGACTAGCACTCATATTTTCTACTACTATATCATTCTATATATATTTATATAGACATATAAATATATTATATATATATACACCAATAAAACAAGACTTTGTTAATAAACACAAACCAACTCAATTTATTCCGTCCATGAGGCAGTCTTTTTAGTTAAAGCTGCCAAATTGAAGTCACTGATTCCTGGTGCTAGTGGAATTGAATGAACATGTTGGTAGACATGGTGATTTATTTGGCAGATGGAGGGACTTTAACCTTAAACAAAAATTCCCAATTGAGTTTGCAAAGTGTCAAAAAGTTTAGATACATAAAAGTAAAATAAATTACTATGGCCTCAAATATTTTATTTTTATGATGAAGAAACTAGGTTTTGTTTTTGATTGTTTAAAACTCTGTTTTAAATTCAATATATTATTTTCTACATGACACTAATATGAAAATGGTTATTTAAATAGATCCCTTGTTTCAACTAGAAAGGTTGGTCCCAAGTCATGTTTGAAAGAATATGTGAACATAGCTGTACATTTCTGCTTGAAATTTGATTCTAATTTCATGACGAACATTTTTATACAATACTGAAGCTCATATCATTGTTCATTTCCCAAATAGTCCTTAATCTTGAAGATTCATTCACTGATCAAGAATTCTTCATTTAAAAATAATGATCATAATAGTGTTTGTTGGAAGTTTCAGAAAAAATTACATTTGTGTGTGTGTGTGGGGGGGGGGGAGAGTAGGTTCCTACTTCTTGTTCCATTGAGTCAATCTTACACTTTAAATAATGATCATAATAGTGTTTGTTGGAAGTTTCAGAAAAAATTACATTTGTGTGTGTGTGTGGGGGGGGGGGGGAGAGTAGGTTCCTACTTCTTGTTCCATTGAGTCAATCTTACACTTTAAATCTTACAATCTGATTATGTGCTAATATTGACACTATGATTTTTGCTCTGATCTATGACCACCAGTCAAATTTGCCCCATCAAATTATGTCAACTAATTTTTACCATCAAATTTATTTTTGACTTCGTTGTTGAATAATTAAGAAGATTGGTTATACAGTGTGATAAGTAGGCCATACAGTGTGATAAGTAGGCCATACAGTTTGATAAGTAGGTCATACAGTGTGATAAGTAGGCCATACAGTTTGATAAGTAGGCCATACAGTTTGATAAGTAGGCCCAATCATCTACAGCACCTCAAGTTTGAAACTCACCTACAATGCAGAGATTTAAAAAAGAGATCATTTTTTTATTTTAAATAGAATAGCAACAAAGTCATGATTTGCTTATCATAACTATGGAATGACAAGGAAATGGCATTGTGTAACTCACCCCATTTGCTTATCACACTTATTGAATGACAAGAATTGATGCATTGAGCAAGCAGCAAACAGACATTTTAAATGATTGAACAGGTGTGCGCTGTGAACATCATGTTTCTAGACAGTGTATATTTGTCTAAGATAAAAAACAAAAACTTGATGAATACATTTGTATCTGATAAAACAATAAATGGAGGCCCCCATTATATTTATAAATCATGATATCCCTCCCATTCTTACACTTATATTTATTGATCAATCCAAAATGTGGCAGTTTTTCTAATAATCTAACTTCATGATTATATTATTTTGTTGCATCCTGAACCGTTGTGTACAATTTTTTAATATATGCCTATAGCTTTAAACACAAAACATTGTCTGCTGAAATTCATTCCAAAACATCCTTTATATTGAAGTCATGTTTGTACAACAACAAAAAATCCATCTTAAGACCATGCCTTTATATTCTTTTGTCATTGATTTTTAGTAAATTTTGAACATAAAATTATGGTACAAATATTTATAAAATAATTCTATTTCAATAAAACTCAACATTTATTAGTTCCAACAAGACTTTGTTATCTATCACCGCTCCCATTCCACAGAAGTCTGGGTTGAATCTGCGGTTTTCTTTTGATTGGAGAAATGGTAATCTTTCACTTTGACAGCTCCAAGTTTCACAATGTCGCTACGCTAATCATTGGATATATTTTCTGGGGTACGGCTTGGACCCCTTGAAACACACTGTTATTGTCAGAGACATGTAAAGTTTGCATATAACACCCATATTCGGAGTGTATATTTTGTTATATGTGTTCTTGTACGAAATACACTTTCGGCTTATACACGACTATTTTATTTAATTATTTTTAAGAAAAGATACCTTGAAACAATTTGACACAAAGAAGACCATGAAACTATTTGACACAAAGAAGAGAAATGAAGCTTAGGGGCCCAAGAAACGAAAGATGGAGGGAGGGCCACACAATGAGCCAAGCTCTTCATGACTTTCTTTGAAATGCCTGGCTCAAGTAGTCTGGCAGGTTCCACGGAGACTCGTACGGTTACTCGTAGTTTATTGGAATCTGAAGTTGGATGAGTACAAATGTGACTGATCGAGTACAAATGTGTCTAAAGTTGGATCGAGTACAAATGTGTCTAAATTTGGATCGAGTACAAATGTGTATAAATTTGGATCGGTAATATATGTCTAAAGTTGGATCGATAATAAATGTGTCTAAATATATCTTGAACCAGCTAGACAAAGATGAAATGGAGCTAGAGGATTGTCGATCACAGCTGACGACGCTGCTGTGAAGGCTGGAAACTGAAATGATTCCCCCCCCCCCTTCTCGCCCCCCTAAAAAAAGAAGGAGCGAGAAAAGCAAGATGGCCGTGTATGTCATTTTAAAATCAACCTGGCAGGTGTACATGCTGCTAAGCAGGAACCAATGCTGGGATGTTTGTTGAAACCATTTGAAGCCGTATGTAACCTGGCAGGTGTACATGCTGCTAAGCAGGAACCAATGGTGGGATGTTTGTTGGAACCCTTTGAAGGCGTATGCGGATTTTTCTCTCGTTGAACCCCCCCGCGGGGGGGGGGGGGGACACTTTAAAAAATGACCATGTTCAAAGCAGGGAATATAATCCTAGCATCGGTGTCAAGCACTGTTACTGTTTTATCACCAACTTTAATTGGTTTTAATTGATCACCAAAATTTGGTTTAAAAAAAATTAATTACAAACACAAGCAGATGAAAACACCTACACAGTCACACACACACTCACAAAAGCACAAATACACAAAACACACACACAAAAACGCATACTCACACACTCAGTTATACAATTATTGTGAAAAAGGCAAACTCCTAGTTACTAAGGTGAAATAAAATCACTTCTAATGTATTTATTTGTATCCCATCACCAGTCAAATAAAAATGTTCATAGCGTTTACATTGAAATAAGTAAAAATATCATTTTAGAAGTAAGAGAAACGTCATTTTAGAAGGAACAGAAACGTCATTTTAGAAGGAACAGAAACGTCATTTTAGAAGTAAGAGAAACGTTTTTTTAGAAGGAAGAGAAACGTCATTTTAGAAGGAAGTGATAAGTCATTTTAGAAGAAAGAGAAGCGTCATTTTGAAGTAAGAGAAACTTCATTTTAAAAAGAAGGGAAACGTCATTTTAGAAGTAAGAGAAACGTCATTTTAGAAGTAAGCAAAACATCATTTTAGAAGTAAGAGAAACGTTTTTTTAGAAGGAAGAGAAACGTCATTTTAGAAGGAATAGAAACGTATTTTAGAAGGAAGAGAAACGTCATTTTAGAAGGAAGAGAAACGTCATTTTAGAAGTAAAAGAAACGTCATTTTAGAAAGAAGAGAAACATCATTTTACAAGAAAGCCAAATAATAAATACAAAAATACATTTCTTATTATGAGCTTATCATAAACTTTAAACACAAGCATAGAAACACTATTTAACAGTAAAAAAAAAAATAATAATGAAAATTTTACAAATAAGTCTGAAAATGAATGGTTAAATATCAAATTGTTAATATAATTTTTTTTCTTCTTTAAATGCTTTTAAAAATCCTTTTGGGTTGATCTCATTCATAGTGAGCTTGGACATCATCAGTACTGTGCTAAAACGAATAAAACACAGTAAAGAATAGTTTCAAACATAAAATGTATAGACATTTAATTCACAAACATTTTGAACATTTGACAAGATCAAGAAGCATGAAAGCCCAGTGACCGTGAAAAGTGTGTGTGTCTGTGTGTGTGTCTGTGTGTGTCTGTGTGTCTGTGTGTGTGTGTGTAGGGGGGGGTTGGCGGGGGAGCGAATGGAACATTCTCCCTGGGCTTCAACGTCGGTAGGGGGTGTCAAAAGCATCAAAAGCGGCTGTAGATATGCGCTTTATAGTGAAGTAAACGATAAAGTGCTATAAACGATAAATAACTATTTGTACTAGTCATGACGACATATTTTTCAATACACGAAAGAGCGCCATTTTCAGGTTTCGCCCCTTTTTCCGGAATGACCCTGTATGACAATATGAGTGGATTGAGTGAAATGTCCTGAATGACCCTGTATGACAATATGAGTGGATTGAGTGAAATGTCCTGAATGGATCTGTACGACAATATGAGTGGATTGAGTGAAATGTCTTGAATGGATCTGTACGACAATATGAGTGGATTGAGTGAAATGTCCTGAATGACCCTGTACGACAATATGAGTGGATTGAGTGAAATGTCCTGAATCACCCTGTACGACAATATGAGTGGATTGAGTGAAATTTCCTGAATGGATCTGTACGACAATATGAGTGGATTGAGTGAAATGTCCTGAATGGATCTGTACGACAATATGAGTGGATCGAGTGAAATGTCCTGAATGGATCTGTACGACAATATGAGTGGATTGAGTGAAATGTCCTGAATGGATCTGTACGACAATATGAGTGGATTGAGTGAAATGTCCTGAATGGATCTGTACGACAATATGAGTGGATTGAGTGAAATGTCCTGAATGGATCTGTATGACAATATGAGTGGATTGAGTGAAATGTCCTGAATGGATCTGTACGACAATATGAGTGGATTGAGTGAAATGTCCTGAATGGATCTGTACGACAATATGAGTGGATTGAGTGAAATGTCCTGAATTGATCTGTACAACAATATGAGTGGATTGAGTGAAATGTCCTGAATGACCATGTACGACAATATGAGTGGATCGAGTGAAATGTCCTGAATGACCATGTACGACAATATGAGTGGATCGAGTGAAATGTCCTGAATGACCATGTACGACAATATGAGTGGATCGAGTGAAATGTCCTGAATGACCATGTACGACAATATGAGTGGATCGAGTGAAATGTCCTGAATGACCATGTACGACAATATGAGTGGATCGAGTGAAATGTCCTGAATGACCATGTACGACAATATGAGTGGATTGAGTGAAATGTCCTGAATGACCATGTACGACAATATGAGTGGATTTAGTGAAATGTCCTGAATGACCCTGTACGACAATATGAGTGGATTGAGTGAAATGTCCTGAATGACCATGTACGACAATATGAGTGGATTGAGTGAAATGTCCTGAATGACCATGTACGACAATATGAGTGGATTCAGTGAAATGTCCTGAATGACCCTGTACGACAATATGAGTGGATTGAGTGAAATGTCATGAATGACCCTGTATGAAATTATCAGTTAATTTAAAAACATTTATATTCCTATTAAAAATTAATGGCTCCGTTTTTACGAAGTAGATTATGCTGTTCAAAAATATTAGTCCAATAAATACCTTCTAGCTTTTAATAAAGATTATCTCCATATATATATATATATATATATATATATATATGAAGAGAGAGAGAGGGTGTATTTTATGTTTTCTCTTTCTATCTAAATTTTGTTACCTGAAGTATACAAAAGACTTTATATCTCCCCCC